ATGTTGAAGGTAAAAAAGATGTAATTTCCTGGACAATTATGCTAAAAAAATATATTCATGCTGGGGATCTTGAATATGCAAGATTAATCTTCGATAGCATGCCATTGAGGGATTTAATCTGCTGGAACATCATGTTAAATGCATATTCTCACAAGGAAAGCACAAAGGAGACAGTTGAAATGTTCAATTCCATGCCTGCACACGATGTAATTTCGTGGACTACTATGGTATTTACATATGCTTCTTCTGGGCAAATTAGTTTAGCAAAAAAAATGTTTGATGCAATGCCAGAATGGGATGCTGTGTGTTGGGCTACAATGTTGTCTGCATTGGCACAATTCTTGAAATTTACCGAAGTTCAAAATATGATTCAAGATGTTCCTCTGCAAGATTTATTTGCAAGAAATGCAGTTCTTTTAGCACTTGCCCAAATGGGGCATTTTGTTTGTGCCGAACAAATGTTTCAGAAAATGGAAAAGCGGGACATTGTGTCATGGAACACGATGCTTAAGGTGTATTCCGGTGCTGGAGAGCTTCACAAAAGCAAGCGTGCTTTTGATACCATGCCACAGCACAACTTGGTCTCGCTGAATTCCCTGCTCTCTCTATATTCTCTCCACGGGCATGTAGAACTTGCGAAAGAAGTCTTCAGCTCCTTACCGCAGCAAAGCTTGATGTCGTTTACAACCATGATAAATCTCTACGCCCATCTTGGAGACATTGACAATGCCAAGGTGTTGTTTGATCAGATGCCTGTTCATGACTCTGTTGCATCAAATGCAATGTTGTGTGCTTATGTCCAAAACAACAATCTTCTTAAAGCCAGGGAAATTTTTAACAGCATGGCCTATAGAGATTTTGCATCATGGACAACCCTCATGTCGGCATACTCTCAAGATGGCAATGTTCTCGAAGCTAGGCATCTGATGTCTCAGATCCCATGCTTCAACATAGTGGTTTGCAATGTAATATTATCTTTTGATTTGTTAGAAAAATCAAAACATCTGTTTGATACCATGCCGCAGAGGGACATAGTGACGTGGACGACTATGATCAGCAGATATGCCCAGGCTGGGCATATCAACGTTGCCAACTTTCTCTTTGAGACAACACCTCAACACAATCTAGTGACATGGAATGTCTTGCTAGAAGCTTATTACTCACAAGGCTCCGTTGTTCATATTGGAAATCTGTTTTCTAGAATGCCTATAAAGGATCTTGTGTCCTGGAATCTTGTCTTGACAGCATATGCCTCATTTGGGCATTTGCGAGATGCTTTCGGCATTTTTGCCGGGATGCCCAGAAAGGATCTGGTATCCTGGACAGCCATGCTGGCAGCATATTCTAACAACGGCAGCCCGGACGATGCCTTCTACGCATTTAACCTCTTGGTTTTCGAGGGGCATCTTCCGGACGAGGCATGCTTCACGTCCTACTTAGCCGCGTGCGTTAATCTTGGCGACGTAAATCGTGCCAGATCTTGCCTCGCGTCTCTCACAAGTGATTACAGCCTAACACCTTTGAAGCTCCACTTCTCATGCATCATTGGAGTGCTATGCCGGACTTTCAATTTCGCAAAGTCCCTGGAGCTAATGGAAGCCATGCCTTTCGTGCCCGATGTTTTAGACTGGACGTGCTTGCTTGGAACATCAACTAGCTACACGAATAATCTGTTAAAAAGGTGACAAAACAATGAGACAAAGATTTCTTACACTAAGCCTACCAAAGTTAGTATTAGTTTCCACGATTTAATTACACTGCTCTCAGCAAAACCGATCAAAAACTCTCCTTCTCATGTTAGCTCTCACACACTTTTCTCTCTCGCGTCTCGCTCTCCCTCTCTCACTATTTCTTCATCGTCACTTCCCGTTTAACCAGTCCAAGCACCGCTGGAGCTTGCTACCGACACTGGCACCGCTTGCGATCGAGGAACTGGGCTGTGGAGTGGAGACTGGAGAGGAGGAGATTGTCCTACCAAAACGTTGGAATGCAATCCTTCACCTCCTGCTAGAATCAAACTTGAGCAATCGAGAGAACTTCCAGAGGAATCGGACCAGAGAGACATACTCTGAGGCTGCGAGAGTTGCGAAGGAGGTCCAAGCGGTCCTTGCTGCATCTGCAGCGGTTGTCCTTGCATCATAGCCTGGTAAAACAACATAAATGAAACATTGCTCGTTTCCCTTCCATTACACAGTCAAATAGAATACCTGAGGATATTGGTGGATGTAAACGAGGGGAGGTTGTCCATAGATGACTTGCTGTGGATACTGCTGCAAAACACAAAACACGAGAGAACTAAGACCAAAGAAGACAAAGAGAAAAACTAAAGAAAAGGGCGCGTACGTTTGGATGAGGATAAGCGGGTGTAGGTTGCATCGTTGGAGGCATATAGCGTATTGCCTGTTGCTGTCCGTAGGGACTTGCACCAACCTGTAAGAAATCACAACTAAGAACTTCCTGTCAATCTTTGGGACAACTGGGATCACCTGTGCTTGTGTTTGTGGAGGCAACTTAATCGGAGGACCAGCAGGACCTGGAATGAAAGTCGCAGAAGGTTGAATGTAAGGCGAAGTCGTGACACCAGTCGCAGCCATGGTGTTATTGTACTGCGTATATTGAGCCGGTTGTCCGGGCTGCTGCATGTACACGGGCATTCCTTGCATCGGGGCAACCGGAACTCCCGCGGGCACGTAGATTGGACTCGGATTGATTGGAGAAGCCGGCCTTGCTGGGGGAAAGCTCGGCGTGAACACCTTTGCATTCGGATTTAGCTTAAACTCCTGCTTCCGAAAGCGTCAAGAATGTGAAAACAATCACAAGCTACACACCTTTGCGTTCGGATTTAACAACGACTTCTTGTTGCCCGTAGCAGAATTGTTGGCAGCAGATGCTGGAGCAGCCGGTGTGGATGGCCTGTCTGCTTCGATTTCTGGCGAGGGAGACTCGGACGCTTTCGGTGCAGCTGGCTTGATCGGACTACGTGGCCGAGAAGATGAAACGGAGTTCGTGCCCGAGCTGAG